GATGAGTATTTCTAAAACTGTTGATCTCCTGGGATTTACACACAAAAAAGTTTCTAGAATTTACTCAGAATTGTGTAATGAAGAAAGAACATCCAGGGAGTGGCAGTTCTGAGTTGAAGAGAGGTGTCAACAGAGAAAGACCTGACTAGTTTAAGCTGACAGAAAGGCTACAGTAACTCAGATACCACTCACCAATTGTGGTGAGCAGAAAAGCATCTCAGAATATACAACACGTCAAACCTTGAGGCGGATGGGCTACAACAGCAGAAGACCGTGTTGGGATCCACTTCTGTCAGCCAAGAACAGAAAGCTAAGGCTGCTGTGGGCACAGACTCACCAAAACTGGACAGCTGAAGACTGGAAACACATAGCCTGGTCTGACGATTCTCTATTTCTGACATACAGATGGTACGGTCAGAATTTCGCACGGACAGCATGTATCCATGGACCCAGTCTGGCTTATGTCAACAGTCCAGGACGGTGGAGGTGGTGTAATGGTGTGGGGAATGTTTTCTTGGCACATTTTTAGCCTGTTCATATAATCAATCATTACTGGAATGCCACAGCTTATTTGAGTATTGTTGCTGATGTGCATTCCTTTATGGCCACAATTTACTTATCTTCTTATCGATACTTCCAGCATGATAATGCACCATGTCACAAAGCAAAAGTTGCCTCAAACTGGTTTAATGAACATGGCAATGAGTTCAGTGTTCGTCAGTGGCCTTCCCAGTCTCTGCATCTTAATCTAATAGAACACCTTTGAGATGTGGTTGAATAAGAGATTCATAGCATGAAGGTGTACCTGAATTGCATTACGCAATCTCATCAACATGGACCATAATCTCAAAGGAATGTTTCCAACATCTTGTGGAGTCCATGCTATGAAGACTTTGGTCTGTTTAGAGAGGAAAGGGAGGCCTTACCCAGTATTAGTATATTATTCCTAATAAAATGCTTGCCGAGTGTACGTATCATATACTGTATACTCACTGGTCACTATATCGGAAACAACCCTAGGCCCACTTTTCTGGTGGGCAGTGAGAGAATGAAGCCCATCTGTTGCCATTCACAATTTGTGTTAGTCACCCTCTAGCCATTGGTCAGTTTCTCACCACAGAATCACTGGACATTTTTGAAAGGTAGGCCACTTTCAAGCTAGCAGTGACAATGATGTGTAAAAACCTCAGCAACACTGCAGTGACTGATACACTCATACCAGTGCAACACATACTACCACACCACTGTCGTGTTAGTGTTACTGTAGGGCTAAAAATGGTCCACCACCCAAATAGCATCTGGTCAACAGCAGTGATGAATGGGGTAGAGCAGGACTGCCCAAAGTGTGGCCTGCAGATCAAGTTGGAACATGAGGAACTTTGATTTACCATATACTTACACAAACCCAGGGCTTGGTAGTAACAGAATATATATAACTGCGTAATGTAATCAGAATACAGTCTGATACAGTAAAAAAGACAGTAATCAGATAACAGGTACATTATAAAAACAGAATGATTTGTAGCAGGTTTACATTTAAATGCAAATTTATCATCTTTCACCAAAATTCGCTGTTTTAATGATAAATATATCGCATGTGTAGTGTAGATTTGAAGAGTTTTTAATTTGGGGGAAGGGGGTGGGCTACTGCCTGCCAGGACAGAATAATGAAGACCTCCCCACACAGCAGCAGTTACGTTTTTTTATTCAGCCACTCTATAAAATTTTATGAAGTATTTTATTTTTATAGACAGGACTGAGATCTGCATCATTTTCCTGAAGATATTTGAATCAGGTGTTCAATCTGGATTTCCATACCGACAGATTCTACAGCAGCAGACTGATCTGATCAGAAACTCTTTATTCTTGTTTTTTGCTGTGTAAGATTCTACAGTTTGACAGGCTACAAATCAAACTTTTAAAAACCTTTACTTGACAGGTTTAACTAACAGTCTGAAATGTGAAGAGAGAGCGAATTAAGTCTCGTGAGCGGCAAAATTAGTTTCGTTTTTTACTTGTATGATTTCTTTCTTCAGTAGTTTTCAAATGAAAAATATTAATAGGAGTAAATGATCATTATTTGTAACTAAGATGATCAGCTCCCACTTAATGCCTATTTAAACTCGTAGGATTTCTGTGGACTGAAACCACTGACAGCTGATGAGGAAGCATCTAACAAGTACGATCATCAAAGTCCGAGCAGAACGCACCAACATTAAACCTGATGGGCCAGTTCAGCCTTTTAGCAGATAGAACACACGATGGTCAGTGAGAGTTTTAGAATGGCCTCTGTTTATGATTATAGTTAATGAGGAGTCTCAAAAAAAGATTTCGACCAGATTGATCTTTTGACTTTGGCATAATAAACAACAGATTTTTAATAAATAAATCAAAAAAGGAAAGGTCTCGGGACAGCAGTATAGTTTTTAACTATTTTGTATTTGATCCAGTGTACTGGATCATTCTTCCCCTTGTGTTTTAGTGTCAAAGCTTTCAGGCTCAATGTACTGACCTTTTTTCCATTTCCTATTAAAATCACACAAATCAAACAAATTACACTGTTATAAAAATATGTAATCTGTCAACTTAAGAATAATATTCAAAAGTAAGATCAGTGGCTGTTTCTATGGAGCACAATATTTAAGTCAGCTATAATCTCTCACTCTGTTTCATAAACAGTGCAATTTAATGTGTGTTAAGTTACATTCTTGATAAAAAGTCTTGTTAGAATTATTGTTCTCTTTTCTTTACTTAACTAAACATCTTTAATTAAAGACAAGTAATCCAAAAGTAACAGAAAGTAATTAGACTACTTTTTCAATACAGTGATCCATTGGATTAGGTTACATTTACATTTTTGAACAGGTAACCTGTAATCAGTAACCTGGAATGGAATACACTGGGTAAAAGGTGGCAATAAAGTGTGGTGGCCTACGGTCTACAATCCTGCACTTATAAGGTAGGACAAGCTGTTAGGTAGGAGGAGCTCATCAAGTGGGCAGTGAGTCTAAGTAGTATGTAGGTGTTTCTAAGAAGACGATTGTATGTTAAAATGACAAGCTAACAATAACCTCTCTGAATTAGCAAATTGTTGAGGTAATTGGGATACAAACGCAGCCTTAAATGAGACACTGGAAATCTAAATAGCATGAGAGAGTACACAGGTCCATCATGAGAACTTATTTCACCAACATCTTCCATCTCCTCCTGCCTGAATGTTTGAGTGGGAGAGTTGCCAAGCAACAGATTGTCTTTCTTTCAAGGAATGAAGTGAGGACCTTGATGCTCCTGGTTTAAAAATATACAGGAACAAAAAGAAAGAGAAACTATAAAACCAGACAAGTGTCCTTCATTTGGTGCACACATGTCTTTCTCGTGCATCCACGCGTGCTCTAAGCACTCATACCTGGTTGTATAAGAAAACATCTCACATCAATTTTTACAAAGTGCTCTGCTCATCTTTATGTGTGCAGTCTATTCGTGTACAAATATGCAATGGATTTCAGACAAAAGAAGCTTGTGTCCTCAAAGTTATTTATATCACTGATGACCTGTCCACTTCTACATGAGATTGCCTCAGACCATCTATGATCAGCTTGCACCTTGAAGATACAGTCCTGCCTGAGTAACCACAAGCATGATCTTGTTCATTCAAAATTTGAAGCTATTTTAAGAGCACAAACCAATAGGTGTATAACTAGTTTACATTGTTTGCCGCATTGTGTTTGATGAGAGAACAACTGTCTTTGCATGTCACTTTCAGTCATGATAAGATATATATGGATAGTTAGAAGCTTAGTTCGCCCATCAATAAAATGCAGTAGTAGAGAATATTTAACAGAAGGGCTGCAGTACTGCTGTATTCCTTATGCGCAGAGTCTAGTTTAGATGCATGAGGTCACAGGTTTTGGGGTAAGTCTGTCACTTGTGGTGATAGACAGGCTTTTGTCGTGATCCTTGCTTATTTGTGGTGAGCTGAGGAAAAAATGCAGCGGGCTGCAGCTGATCATGGTGTGTGTGGGGGTACAATCGTGGGATAAAATCACTTGTTTGCTTTCACGTCGTGGTTTATTGTTTATTTTCTTTCTTTCTGTGTATGTGTGGTAGAAGTGGTGGGTAGATACGGTGGATGCGACATCGTGAGATACCAGCCTCCTACTGGCACCACTACCTGCAGGCTAAGCACAGCACTGACTGCTGCAGCTTCATGGAGAACTCAATTCAGGGGAGAGGGTGATAAATTAAGAAATAGATAGATAGATAGATAGATAGATAGATAGATAGATAGATAGATAGATAGATAGATAGATAGATAGATAGGCAGGCAGGCAGGCAGGCAGACAGACAGACAGACAGACAGACAGACAGACAGACAGATAGATAGAGAGATAGATAGATAGATAGATAGAAGGATACACAGATAGATAGATAGATAGATTTTGTCTTACTTGGGTTAATTATTTACATACATACCTCAGCCTGGGGTAGGAAGGAAGGAACAAAGCAAGAAAGAAAGCAAGAAAGAAAGAAAGAAAGAAAGCAAGAAAGAAAGAAAGAAAGAAAGAAAGAAAATGGATAATAAGGGCTATTAGGAGAATTTGAGGACCCAAAATGGACCAGTGCTGCTGCAGCTGTCTGACAGAGCTGAAGCCTCTTATGGCTGTATTAGTCCATCATCTTCATCTTCATCATCATCATCATCATCATCATCATCGCGGAGTGAAGGCAGTAACGCAGCCTCTCCTGTAGCAGTGCACGCCCCCTTCTTCAGCATCTTTCTCTATATAAAGGGCCTGAACGCAGCATTTCCAGCAGAACCAGCACACCAAGCAGAAGAAGTGTTCTGATTCAGACAGTGTGTTGTCGTCAGAGAAAGAGGGGCGCAGAAAAACGACTGTGTGAGGAGGAAAATGATTCTTCCTTAAAGTTTTTTTTTCTTTATCTCGCCAGTTTTTCACAACAGTTGTCCCAATGATCAGATCGCCGCCGTTAGAGAGATCTAGCCCCTGAAACTGCGCGCGCTTTCTGTTGCATATCAGCAGCTACTGAGGCCACCTGTAGGCTACAGAGGAGAAGATGTATCGCTCCACCAAAGGAGCTTCGAAGGCGCGGAGGGATCAGATCAACTCCGAGATCCGCAACCTGAAGGACCTGCTGCCCATCTCGGACTCGGACAAGTCGCGCCTTTCATACCTTCACATCATGTCCCTCGCCTGCATGTACACGAGGAAGTCCGTCTTCTTCTCTCAAGGTAGGCTGAGTTTGTTTACCTAGTTGAGTCGCTTTATGAGTAAAGCTCGTTACTGATAGTGATGATGAGGGTTTCACTGAGAGATGGTTACTGAAAGCTGTTGAAGAAGTTCCGGAAAGTAGCCGGTCGCTGTCCAAGGTGCTGATTCCTAGAGGCGCTCTTTTAAAAACACATGACAGACCTTTGGTATTATTCTGACTTAAAGCGAACCTCAGAACAGTCACATTAAGCTGTGGCTGCTTAATTTGAGGTTTACTTACACTTAATTGGTAACTTTACTGCTTATTAATTCAACACTTTTGACATTTATTGTGCAGATTTTTGATACATTCCTCGGTTTGGCGTTTTGAGTTGTTTACTACTTCTAAAGTTAAGCACATTTCGCTGTAATCACGATTAATTCTGTTTACACTTTTTCTCCTGTCCAGATTTAAACGAGGCAGCTCGTCATGAAGCAAGTGGGACCTTCATGTCTATGCCCGAACTCTCCGAGCTCGTGCACACATTGCCGGGCTTCCTCCTCGTGCTCACGAGTGAGGGCAAACTGCTGTACCTATCGGACAATGTCACGGACCACCTGGGTCACTCTATGGTGAGAAGACTCTAGTCATTACATTGACTGTTTATTTTTTTTATTTATTTTTTTTTATTTCTAATGCAACTACAATGCATGATCACTATATCCTAACACTGACCAGCAAACTGAGTTTACTTTAAAGCTCTTGCTTAGTGCCTGACCATGAATTCTCTTGGATGATGCAGGTGGATCTGGTTGCTCAGAGCGACAGCGTGTACGACATAATAGATCCCTCTGACCACTTTATTATGAGGAGCAATCTTGTGCCAGTGACCACACCTGAGACAGGTAACTATAAGCACTGTTGATTCAGTCCAGCTTTCTTTGAATTTTACATCCCACCAAGGCCATTTCTAAACATTTGAGTATGAAGTCCTATTGCATGACCCTGCATCCCATCCAAAGACTTGAATTTCCCTCAAAATCTGAACAAACTTATATTCAGTTCCTGATCTTGTTTTCCTAGAGCGGCTCTTTCGCTGTCGCTTCAACACTTCAAAGTTTGTGAGGAGGCAAGGTTCTGGAAACAAGGTGACTCTGGTACGAGCACGCTGCTTGCCATCACCTTACCACTCATCCTCCTACTGGACGTCCAACCCTGTGTGGGTGTGTTTCTGCTCACCTCTGGAGCCCCAGGTATCACAGTCTTCAACCACCATGAACCCCCTGCCCACTCCACCTCTGGAACAGGCCTTCCTGTTAGCCTGCTTCCAGTCCCAGCACAGCCGGGACATGAGGATTCAGTCTGCCCAGGAGTGGTAAGAGAACCAAGCTCTAAAAAATGCACATGCTAGTCTAGTGATTATTAGCAATATTGGCATTAAAGACAAATGGAAGTAAACTGTTGTCTTTCCTTTCTGGTTCCCTTGCAGTGTGAGTGTGTATCTGGGCTATGATGTGGACACGCTGCGCTCTCGCTCCTGGTACAGCCTGTTGCATCCTCGTGATCTCTCTCATGCCTCAGCACAGCACTGCACCCTGTGTGAGTTTAGTATAGCCATATGACTATGTTGCTATGACTTCAAGCCAACCAAACAGGAAATTTCTAAATATGGTGTAGTGTAAGATTGCAGTGAGCTTTATGAATTAAGGATTATATTCCTCTGCAGTGCGTGAAGGAGGAGAGAGGCAGGTAGAGATGGTGGTTCAGGTGGAGGCAGCTGACCACTCGTGGGTGTGGCTTTATATGGTTCTTCAGCTCCAGACTGGAGAACATCCCATCAGCTCCCAGAACTACGTCATTAGGTACTACAGCTATGCTCTCATCAGCTACGCTCTTAAAAATAAAAGTGCCAGAAATGGTTCAATGCCATAGAAGAATCACCTTTGGTTCACTGATGTTTTTTAAGGCTCTTAAAAATAAAGGCACCAAAAATCCTTCTTTGGAGCAAGAAGAGCCACTTTTCATTCCCTAAAGAAATTTTCAGTGTACATATTCATGCTAGAATGATACATCCAAGCCAATTACTGTTTAGGAACATTCATATCTAAAGGTGAATCTGCTGTAAAAACAGCACTGCTTATCACTATGATACTCTGAATGACACTGACACATCTTTCTCTTCTTTCGTCCCACAGTGAATCTGAAGCATGGTCAGTGCGTCAGCAGCTCTACTCTGAGCAAAACCAGTTAGCCCTCCTGTACCAGGAGGGGTTGGCTCAGCAGTGCTCAGAGCCATCCTTGTCCAGCCCAGAGCAGGTCTTCACACCCAGCAGCAGCGGCCTATCCACCCAGTCCTTTGACTTCAGCTTCACTGCCTCTGGTCGCAGCTCCTCTGAGGAACTGCCCGGCAGCACCTCCCAGTCCGGCTTGTCAATGGGCTCTGCCCCCTGCCCTAGCTTCTCTTTGGATGAAGACAACTTCTCCCAACAGTATGGAAGCCACCAGATGTGGTTACCAGAAGCAACAAAGTTCTCCACAGCATTGGCTCCTCCCTCTCGGCTGAGCCACATAACTAGTAAGGCAGGTCTTTCACATACAGCTAGTCAACCCCCTGTTCCTCCTGCACATCTCCCCAGTTCAAATATGCCCAAACCACCCAGCACGGTGGAGTTGGTTTCTACCCCCCCTTATACCCCAAGATTTGGAGGAGGCCATTTCATGTTTGGTGAGGAGCCCTTTAAACCAGACTCTGCAAGTGCCCCAAGTCAAATAACCCAAGCCATGCCTTCAGCAACTCACCCAACATCCCTCTCAACAGGCATTGGGCTAGTGCTCTCTGTACAGCATTGCCATAGGCATCTGTATGAGAAGTTGCCTCCTACCCCAGATAGTCCAGGCACTGAAAAGTACAACCTCATGGCATTGCCAGAGATAAGAGGGCCCCTGTATGTTGATGTTCCTCATTCAGTCAATCATGGTCCCCCAGAGGGTCTCCTGACCCCAGAGGCTTCTCCTACAGAACAGCCCTGCACAGGTTTCTTTACCCAGCAAGTTGACGATGAAAGAGAGCAACTGGAAATCTCCCTCTTGGCTCAGTATCTCAGTTCTGTAGCTGATGGCTTCTTTCACGACCACCCACCAGCCACAAACTCCCCATCCTCTGTTCTCCAACAGCCTTTACCCACCCAGGACCACCCTGAGCTGCCTTCTTGTGAATTTCCACCCACCACATGCTGGACAGAAGCTCACTCATCAATAGCTCAAGATGAAATCTCTTTATTTGAAGAAGGACTTCTACCAGTTGTCCCCTCCTCCTCCTCCACCCCTTCCCCACAACCCCACTCTCCTCCTCCTCCTGCCCCAATGAGCAGCTGCTCTCCTGGGCACTCACAGGAGGAGGCTTTAGTTGGTGTGCACCACCTCTGTAGCGTCCAGTCGACGCACCGTAACAGCACGGCTGGGGGCAGGCTGCTGGAGCCAGAGTTGACCAATGAGGGTGCTTTAACAGAGAGCATGATGGATGTGGAGCTTTTGCCTCCAGGATTAACCTCCACTCTCTCAGCTTCCCCAGAGACAACACCTGGCCCAGCACTTCCTGACCACACCCCCAGCCTAGCCTGTGCCCAGTCCCTCCTGGAGGAGCTGGTTACCATGGAACCTGTGTTCGAGGCAACCGCCCCGATTACTCCTGCCCTGAGGCAACAACCTGAGTTGTATCAACTCCCTCTTCAGGAGTCACCACAGCACTTCTATCAAGGTGAGAATCAAAAATGTGAGGATTTTTGGGGGGGTTTTTGGCATTTGTTCAGTGTAAAGATTCAATTGTAATTTTCTAACCTCTCTTTTCTTCTCTTTTTCTCTTTCAGATGGAACCGGTGATCACATGTTCTAAAATAAGTCTGTGACTTAATTGATAAAGTATGGCATATTGTCAAGATTTTCTTCTTAGATTATATTAATAACTATAAAACATGAGAGAAATATATTCATTTAATGTTTATACTTCAACAGAATGAATGTCACATGAGCACTTGTATTCATAATGGACTGTCATTTTGGGGAAAAAAAAGATAATACTTAAGAGTATTCTTGTTATGGCAGTTTCACAAAGTGCCACTTTTTGTATTCACTTATAGTGAAGATTGTGTTTTACACGAAGATTCTTCTGAAGATGGACGAAACACGTTTGTATTGGTTCTATTGCACCCTAATGTAGAGTTGTCTACAGTAAAAGTAGAGGATTGATTCCTGAACTCTGTTTATTCACATTGTTTACAAGGAATTCTGTTTGTGTCTGTGCAATTCTATATGAAAAAGCCATGAACAAATCTTTATTTTCTTCTATCAAAAATGATATAAGTATATGTCTAGTGATAATAAATATGTTTATTAAAGATGGTTGCTTTGGTTGATGCTTTTATGCTGTCTTGTAAAAGAAAAAAGTACGTATATGACAATCAATTAAATGCATCATTATCACAGCATAGAGAATCAGCGTCCATATGCATTCATTAATGCTGCCCCCCCAACCCCCAGGAAGTCTATTGTTCTTTACACTTCCACGCTTTCATTCAGTGCCTTTTCAGAGGGTCTCCATGGTTTCGTGGAAGTGAGAGGTACGGACTGACGCACATGATGAGGCGCAAGCTATTTTTCCTGACGCATGCTCTTGACTCAGAGGCATGGTGGAGACAATCAGCTTCCCACTCCTACGCCCACTCACGCACAGCGAACATTCACTCAGCCCACACTCGCTCATTATACCAGGTACTGCATGATGATACCCTATAAGGCCTTTCCTGCCTCTCTCTCAGCTTTCCTCTTAGCCTATGCTATTCGCCCAACTGGCGCAATTTTCTCCGCTGTTGCTGAGGGACTACAAATCCTCCACGCTTTAAGCTCCGCCTCCGCGGCTCTGCTCGCATTATAGTTCCGGTCAAGTTTACTCAGTTTGGTTCCTTTTCATTGACGCTGTCCGATACAGCAGTGACCCACCTACTCTCCCCCAGAGGTCAACGCATCCCCGCATATCCAAAAATATCCCCCCTCCTGTCCACTCTCCTATTGGCCACCGCCACTGCATGCGTGAACGAGCCTCATCTCGCGCTCTCCGTCTCTTCTTCCTGTCCTTGTGCGCGCGGCGGCCTTTCAGCGCTGAAGAGGAACGAAAATAGACGCGGAGGAAGAAAACAAGGGGGAGAGAGAGAGCGAGTGAAAGAGAGGGATGGAGGGTGTACAAGGTTTTTGAAGGTACACGAGGACTTTAGGTGCGCTTTCCACCCACTCCTCCAATCAGTCCGCCGCGCTTTCCTTTCATCCTCCCTCTCTCACACATCTGTGCGCGCTCATTCATTAGTCCTCTCTCTCCTCTCCTTTCTCCCTCTTCTTCTTTTGACTCACCCTCCTCGCCCCTCGCGCCCATCCCTCGCTCCTCCGCTCCCTTCACTCTTTCCCTCCATCCCTCTGCTTGATCATCGTCCAGCCCCAAAACTCACGAACAGCCCCGTGCCCACTTACACGGTAATGCAAAGGCGAAGGATAGACGCTTCGAACGTCCTGTATGCCGAACAACGCCATAAACACAACTTCCCACGTGTTTTGTTTGAGAGCAGATGAGCAAATGTCGTGCCAGCGCCACATCAGTGCAATAGTGAGACTAAAACACAGTGTTCATAAAATTATGCAATGAATCGAAATTAAATCATCTTGTTATAGATAGTCCGTGAATATCCATAGGCTTTAAATGTATAGATGATCTGTCCTTAAGTGTTTGTGATTAAAATGCCAACAGCGGCGCGCTAAATCCAGGCCTTACTCCAGATCGACATCTAGTGGTGAACAAAATTAACTGCACATTTGCAGCGCACTTATAACTTAGTTAAAGGCTTAACGCCCAGATTCCCAACTGCAGTGCCCCCTGTCTTTGGGGACGGGTCAAGGTCTTGTGAGGCCGTGCGAGACCACAAGTCTTTCGACGCACGCTACACTCTAATAATGATAAATATTAAAATATATAATTTGATCAACAGTGGAAATTTGGAAATGTATTTATTTTTTGTTGAGAATAAACAAAATGAGGTATTCTGGCCAAAAAATGGAATTTAATGTTTTTTGTCATGTTATATGATATTCTGTAGCGCAGTTTTGAACTCATCTGCTTCAGTGGTGTGACTGAATTCATGATTTTGCATCGTTTTTATCCGTCATTTTTCTCTCACTACAGTACCCAGAATGCATTACGCAAATACATCATATAGTTATTGGGAATTCCCTATAGCGCTCAACAAATCCTGACTGCGAGCCTAATAAATACATCTGTGGTGCTAGCTAGCATTATAACACTAACTTTAATTGGTTCTCAAAATATCCACCCCAGAGCACTTGGAGTCTTTCACAACTCCCCTTCACCTGTGTGAGGCATCATCAGAAAGATGCTTTCCTCTATAAACCAGGAAAACTCGCTCGAGACCGCTGCAGCATTGCTGTAATAGGCCTTTTGGCCCGAGTGTCCCTATAAGAAGTTCATTAGGTGGATCAGGTGTGTTTGGAGCGGGTTAAACACTAAGGACCGCTGGTTTAACGTGACCTATCTGGCCTGTACGTGCCCCATCCAGCCAGTCCAGACTAATGTGGCTTTACACACTGCAAGGCGCATCGCAGTGTATCTACAGCGGTGTTTAAACTTCACCGTGTTTACCACGCCAAGCTGTTTTAGCTGATCTGCAAATTGTTGATTACAGAAAGTCTAAAATGAATTATAGTAAGATTTACTAGTTAGAATTATACTTTAGCTTGTAAGAATGTAGTAAGAATGTATTGCTTTTCTCGATTATTTTATAGAGAAGTGTTTTTACTAGTGTAAATTGAATTATATTTTAATTTATTAATACAAATTTCAAAAGTAAAAAATTATTTGACATGTTGAAATTACATGTGATAATTGATTTTTAATGGGGAAAACTGAAATGTTACATGCACAATTTCGTTATACATGTCAAAGTATTGGGTTTAGATTTACAAGAAAAATGCACATTACTAAACGTCTCAGCCACTTTAGTCATTTTGTCTCATTTTCAGCTGTGATGTCTTCATTTCACTTTTTGCTATATAGGTCATATATGAGCCCACTGTAGACTGAAACTGTACATTAAAAGCTAAACGGTTTGCCTTGTTTTAGGAGAGAAGGGCGCCTCATATCTAGTTTATTATAGCCCTGCCGTGGTGAAGTCAGTGTGCAGACGAGTGTCCGCTAGATGGCAGCAGAGCTTTACTGGAACAGAAACCTCCCTGACGGAGCTTTCAACATGGCGACCTCCATGGCTAAAACATAAACGCTGCGAGAGGTCAAAATCAATCCTGCTTTTCTCTCACGAAGGAAAACTTAAAATCGAAAGGCTTGAAATCTGACCGTGAATCAGACACAGGTATAGTGTACTCTCTGAGGACTGTGTAAATAATCCTGCATATAGCTGTAGCTAACCATGTTGTTTATTAGCTGATATGCTAACATTGTGACCACGTTAGTCAGCTTTCTTTCTCCTGGCTCACTAACGTCCTGCGGTTTTGAACAAATGGATACAGTATTAGTGATTCATGTAATGTAATTCGTGTTGCTTTGCTTTGTTTACAGTGTGTTTACAATGGCTTTTCTTTCGAATTTGAGGCCGATGCTGTCTTCAGTCTTGCAAGGTGAGTCAATAAGTCATATTGCATCTAACTGTAATTTACATACTGGTTACTGTATACCGACCTATTATATCCAAATAATAAATATTGAAACGTGAGAAGGCTTTGTCAAGTACCCACAATGCTCAGTTTTCTTTTCCATTTTAAATGTATTTTACAATGCATTATATATTACATGCTTACTTTTTTGTTGAGGAGAAATACAGTCAAATAAAATACTAATTATTTCACTCTTACAGCATCTCAGTCTTCATTCCCCTGGTCTGGATCAGTTTTTGCCAGCTTTAGCAGGACCATGGCTACACTCAATCAGATGCACCGCAGAGGTAAACTTCCCCCACCACTCAAAAAGATTGGTGCCACTTTCGGCAGGCCGCAGCTGAAGGCTGTCGTCCTGAAGACCATAATCAGAAAGCCCAAAAAGCCCAACTCAGCCAACCGCAAATGTGCACGAGTCCGCCTTTCCAATGGCAAGGAAGCTGTGGCGTTCATACCTGGGGAGGGACATAACCTTCAGGAACACCATGTAGTGCTGGTTGAAGGAGGGAGAACACAGGACTTGCCAGGTGTCAAACTCACAGTAGTCAGAGGCAAATATGATTGTGCCCATGTAATTAAGAAGAAACAGTAAATTCTCTTGTTTATTACTGGAACTGTTCCAACATTGAAGACCTACAGTCGAGTGCTATGTTTGCTGATGTTTATTTTCAGAATCCTTATATTTTTTTCATTAAAATGACATCCCCATGCTTCGGGAATGTTATTTGAAGTGTATGGATATTCATGATCTTGGCTTCACAGTTGCAACAAAAATAAACCTGTTATGACCCAAACACTTGGAGCATGTGGAGGAACCGCTGTGGCTGTAGAGGCTAGTGTGATGGTTTAAATGGTTCGCTGTATATTTTTGGTGACTATAACTTCCTTCAGGAGATATGTAGAGTAGAAGGGCTCTCCAAGCTGTTATGAAAGAAACTACAACTTTAATAAAGGCTCTGCTGCAGAGCCTTCTCCACAGTCTACTTATGTTGAATTGCTGGAAGCTCAAGTACACCACCTGGTGCTCATTTACAGTCAGAGCTCATGGGAGGAAAGCTACTGAATGGCAGTTTGAACTTTAACTTTTAACAAAATTGATGCAACAAACTTCAGTGTCGGTTTCCAGACAAGGAGTAAGCCTAGTCCTGCACTAGGTTTAATTTTCAATGGGGAACATGTCTTTAGAATGTGGTTTAGTTCAAAATTTAATCCCTGTTCAGGAGACCAACCCCATGAATCTTGCCTAGTTGCATGGCAGTACTTGGTCATGCCTGAGTAATATTTTGTGGTTACTTACAAAATAGTTAATTACATGAAGTACACAGAGATTGTCTATTTATTTATTATTAGTTTGTTGTAATTTTAGAGAGTAGTGCATGACTTTGCTATTGCTGCAGGGTTAAAGGTTAAAATCTATATTATTTTTCCTCAAGAGAGCATCAACTACTTATAAAGTTTGCATAGACGAAATGATAAGTTCAACAAATATTCTGCTTTGATTAGATTAACACCCACCTCTCTAAAAGAATTTTAATCTCTTCACAATTTTAAAGGTGAGTGAGTGACTTGAGTGTGTAACTAAATGTTCAAAAATTTTATGTAAATATAAAACGAGTGGTGCCTTTGTTATTCACTACTGTATACCACATTACTGTTTCTCTGCATCAAAGAATAGGTGCCACAAAAATGGTCAGAAAATGCTTTTAATATCACTTTTTGTATTCTGATACATATTCTTCTGGTGCTACTATTTATGATGGGTGTTCCTGAGACCCAGTGATTTTACATGAAAAAAAAGTTTTTATTTAATCACTTTTGCAGATATGTACTGTTTTTTCAGTTTTCTGAAGTACTTTGGTTTGTTCCTGGAACACACCCAGCCTCCTTTGAGTTCTGAATAATATGGCACAAGCCTAAACCTAAATATAATTAGTATCTAGGACACTTTACATCAGCTTCTTACTTGGGCAATTCAACAGACATAAACCAGGAACATATTGTACTTGGACATTTTTGTAAAGAACTTTGTAACCACCCACCGGCCTTGCAGGATGATTTCCCAGCTGCTGTCTTTGTCTTTAGTCAAAAGTAGCATTCCTCTGAACACAGCCCAGGCTTTTTGTCCAGGTAGTGGCATTTGGCCAAACTGTGTGAAGGATGCAGACTTTCAGGAGCATCAAGCACTGTAGGACTGACTGCACAGATACATTACACGCCCAAATGTTTTTAGACACCTGCTTATCCATGTAAAACCTAATGAAATCAGGGGTATGAATAGGGAGCTTGTCCCCTCTTTAATGCAGTAAAAGCCTGTGTTCTTCTAGGAAGGCATTACACTATATGTTGGAACATTGCTGTGAGGATTGGATTGAATTCAGCCAGAGCGCTAGTGAGGTCAGGTACTTATGTTGGATGATTAGTTCAAACGACACTCCGACTTAACCCTTAATCTACTGAGTGATGCTCCATCACCCCAAAGAATGCAGTTCTGTGGCTCCTCAGCTCAATTCTGGGGGGGCTTTATGCGCTTCTAGCTGATGCTTGGCATTGGATTTTGTGACCACAGTGCCTGGATTGATGACAAGGGCATTATCTGACCTGATAACTTAATGTAAGGACAGTGTACAAAGCCTGGACTTCTTTGATTACTGCAGACATGATGAGCCAAACCAATCATTACTGCCAATACTAATCTTCTATCATAGGTCTAAATTAGGAGTGTAAATCTCTGATTCAAGGCATTTGACTGACTGCTTTGACTGATTGACTGACTGCTTTGACACATTGCAGCATTATTTGTAAAAAATTACAGTGAATACAGAGGATATTGCACTGAGTAGTGCAAAATTGACAATAAAAACAATACAAGTTTTTTTTACATTTGTAAATTGTCAACAGATATATTTTGGGGGGGAAATGAGCCCATAATTCATTTAATATTATTACAATGGATTCTAACCTTCCAAAATGAATGAATGATTGAATATTCACCTTTAGATAGATACATTATTATGCATCAAAGCAATTTTCCACTACTAGACCAAACTCATGACAATGACCAACCCAAAACATCATCCAACATTTTATCATGTCTTTTTTTATTTGAAACTGATTTTTCACTTTTCACTCACATTCTTAGTGAAACTGTAATTATGGTGATCACATCAACTCAACATTTTGACAGGTGAAACATAAGCCAAAATCTCACCAACATGTAGTCAGTAAGCAGTACAAAACTGTGTCAGTCTCCACATTTGATCATATGTTTGGTTAAGCTTTGTATGGTGTCTCTGACAAGAGACGTTTTGGTTGCAAGAATTTCTCAACTTCCCAAATGGACAGCTAAGTACTTCCAATGGGTTCTTCAATAGGAAACACTACCTCATACAAACACTTCTGACCTTCCAATGTACGTCCTTTGGCTTCTGGGCAAACTGTCATCTGTCATTGTCACAAGACTGTCACAAGATGTGTCACAACTTCATTAAGAGACATTTATGGTCATCCAGTTTAAATTTAAGTTAGGCCCATACCATTCTCTAAGTGTACATATGCACTCACCTGCTAGTGGAGAATGTGCTAAAATGTATGTGACTCATCTGACATTGTTTTTTTTCATGAGCATGACTTGCTACCTACAAACCATGTTCTGCAGGCAATCAACACTACATATTCTTAGTGATCCCACTAAACAGGCCTATAAACAAAAGTGGCCATATTTTGAAAGAGAAAAAGAAAAATGCAGAAGCTTCTATATTAAGAAAAGGCTTTATTGTCTTGAAAATGACATAAGCTCAAGCATGCCATACTTAAAGCAACTTGTGTTTCTATATAGAATAGCAGCATACACTAACAGTGCATCCTTCAGCATTTCACACTTTAAGGCAAACAGTTCTCTATGGATTAAGTAGTCAAACACCACACATGAAGTAACATACTGGGAATTTTTGAAGCAAGGAGGAATAAAAGCAGTTCTCTAGAAACCAGACTATCAGTACTGTCTGAACTGCAATATAACTGGCTTATCCCCTCTTGAAAGGAATGAGCTATAGAGTTATACTGAACACCAGTCTATTTCTCTTCCCAATTAGCTAGCGATTTACACTGCTGTTGGTGAGCAAATTCCTGATGCACTATAGAGTGACAGAAAACCAAGAAGTAGGAAAAAGACTGCAACAGAACAAGTTTTAAAGGACTAGAATGTAGACTGTTTCCCGAATGTCTTGAACAAAAAAAGAAGTATTATGTAGACATCCTCAAACAAGAGTGATCTAAGAAGGTCCTGACCAAGAATAGAAGCTGAAAAATATGGTGGTGTCCCTCTTCATCCTGTTATTATCTCACCCATACATGTATGACTGGATATGTCAGTGTTGGGTACATAGCCTTGACTTCTATGCACTTCAAGATGCTTAAAATCACACTCTGTGGCAATCAGATTACACATGTGATAAGATGCCTACAGATTAGAGGAAGCATGTGCTAGGCTCTGGCCTCAAAGATGTATGGTACAGTCATGCAAGTATGGTGGGAACTGGCTATGACAAGTTGACATGTTGACAGAAAATTTCTGCAGATATGTAACATATCAAAACAGTAAGAAAATAAGCAAATGCTATAGTGGCCGAGCTTGGATGAAAATGTAGCACTTAACATACAGCTTGCGCCATAAGAACTAATCAGGAACACTACTGAAGATAATTCTTCTTACACTGAAGTCACATCAGCAAATACACATTCACAGTTACAAAAGCAAAGGATGCTAAGGCTATCTAAGGATCCTATGCTACTAAACAGCAGTCAATAATAAATATGAAGCAATCAACAAGGCACAGAGCCATGGCAAACAACGGTATCCCTTTTGCAATCTACAGAACAAGTTCAGTGGCGTTGAGGCTGAGGAAAAAGTTCATCTAAGCAACACTGAAGGTTTTCATTCTTTTCAGGATAGTGATTCTCCTTAATCTTCTTTCTGATGTAGCGTGCGGTTTCATCTCGGACTTGCATGCTAGGGCCTGTGCTGGAAAGGACGCTCCTAAGCAAGTCCTGATTGGCCTCCACTGACATACCCAGGAGGAAACGCAGGAAGATGTCATAGTTAGCATTTTTGGCGTGCAGTGCTTTGTCTATAGCACTTTTATGCAGCTCCACCAGAGAGGCCTCCTTTGAAGAGAACATTTTGAACTTGTGACCTTCTAGAACGTTCTTCCCATGGTTCTTGAAAGAAAGGAAAACATAAAGAGCAGCTATGTATTCCTGCAAAGTCGGATGAATGAAGCAGTCTACTTTCTCTTGATACATCACAAACTTCTCTCTGTAGAATTGCGTGCAGAGGCCTGCAATGACCACAGCGTCTCGGACGTGCAAACCATATTCTGTCCAGTGCTCTTTCTCGATCCTGAACACATTCTTCTCCAGTAACTGGAAGGCCATCTTCCCAAGCTTCATGAGGAAATCCTGATCACTAAGAACAGGCTCTTCTTTTGAGTTGTTTTGCATTCTCTGGCTGCGCATGCCAATGTGCATCAGCAGCAGGTTGGTGTAGAAATGAGTAATTGCCTTGGGGAGCTCTGTCCCTGCTGGCAGGTTTTGGAGATCTCTCTGAAGCACGTTGTGCACCACCCAGCAGAACTGTGGCATGTGGCACATCAAGTAGAGCGTCTTGCAGGACTTGATATGAGCAATCACTCTCTCTGCAAGCTCTTTGTTTGTGATTACCTTCCTGAAATAAGCTTCCCTCTGTTCATTTGTAAACCCACGAACCTCATGTAACTGGTGGATGCATTCCGCAGGGATGAGGTTGATTGACACAGGTCGTGTGGTGACCCAAACATAGGCAGAGTACATTAGATTTCCCCTGATCAGATTGGTGATTAAAATTTTTAGTGTCGTTGGTTGATTGAGATCACACCAGTATGCAGTTCTGCGAAAGTCAATGGGAACCGTGCAGTCGTCCAGGCCATCACAGATGAACATCACACGGCAGTCGTCAAAGTCAAGGGTATCTACTTCCTTCATTTCTGGGTAGAGCCTGCAGATTAAATCCATGAAGCCTATTGTGTCATCTGCCATCTGGTTCAACTCCTTGAACGGCAAAGGGATTAGAAAGAACACGTCATGGTGCGCTTTCCCTTCTACCCAGTCTAGAATAAACCTCTGAACTACAGATGATTTCCCAATCCCTGGACTGCCTTTAGTTAACAATGTCCTCACATGCCTTGACTTCACAACCTCAGGGCTGAAGATGTCCTTGCAAAAAACCACCTCTTTCTGGCCACGGCCACACTCCTGGAGCTCCTCTATCTGCCTATACTCGTGCTCACTGTTTATTGCAGCATTTGCACCATCTGTAATGTGGATGTCTGTGTAAACAGAGTCAAAAAGGGTCTGTTGTCCTTGCTGGGCCAGACTTTCATAAATGTTCTCGTATTTCCTTTTCAGAGTCACTTTCAACTCATAACGGACTTCATCTGGATAGGAGAAAGAGAAGTACCATTAAGCATTTATACTCTATGAGAAACAAGAACAGAGTAGTATATTATTTGACACTTACTTCTTTTACACAGCCCTTGCAGGTAGTCAGCCACCTTCTTTAAGTTCATTTCTCTCAGGACTATCTGTGTGATCTTCAGGGACACTTCAATGTCACAGATCTCTAGCATTTTATCTACCACGTCAACTATATCCAAGCCATCTAGTGGATCTCGAAAGCACTCTGGGTAGCGCTCCCATAAGTTTCGTTTGAAGATTTTTAACTCATCTGCAGTGAGTTTCTGCAGGCAGCTTTGAAGGGCCTAAAAATGAACAACAGAATTCATTTACCTGGCAAGACTTGAAGCATAGTAATGCAAGAAACTCTCAAGGCAAATGTTATTCAAACATCTAAGCACCGTGTGTTAGACTGTGTCTGCAGAATTTAACATTTTTATCTATTCTTAAGAACTGAAAACTCATGGGGAACCTCATGCAACAATACAACAAAGCAAAAACAAATGTTTCTCACCTTGAAAGTGAAATCAACAGTAAGTGCAGGGTGCCGCTTCTCATTAGGATCTTTTTGTAACTCTGGTTTTGGAAGAGGAGGAGCAGCACTTGGTTGGCTGCAAGATTTTTTCCGTGACCTATATTTTAAAAAGTTTCATCAGACATTAGACAGTTTCATATAGGGGAGTGATCAAGTTTTGAGAGCATGACAAACAGTGAAATTGGATGCACAAATGCTGACACCTGCACTCACTTTCGTTCAGGTTTGCTCTCGCCTTCCACTCCCTCATCGCTGTTAAATGAGAAGCTGCTTGATGCTGAAGAGTTTGCTCTCTCCAGTTGGACCCTGAAGAAAAAGGTTTCAATGGTTTTCAAAAGCTTAAAACATTAAACTGAAAAAAAAAACACTGAAAGCATCTGAGAATTATAGCAGAAAGTCCATAAGCTTTTCCTCTCTCCTGAAAAGTTGATCATGCATTCCCCATTTGTGTTTAGCACATGCTGCAAATACTGCACATAGAAATAGCTGCATGATAACCTAGCCACAACACTGCGCAAATGACTCACCGTGTAGCAACACCAAGTGGAGCTTCTTCATCAGCCTCCTCCAACATGTTGAAGGACCAGTCATCACTGTGCATTGACACATAACTTGGGGCAGGTGATGCAGCTCTTTCTACATCATATCTGAGAAAAATATTTATCAAAAGAGGAAGAAAACATGAGGGACACTTGGTACCCAGGGAATGGTTACAACTCTCTATTGTTAATCATTTAAACCCCAAGACCAATTTCTCACTTTCATAACTATATAGTTTACATATAACGTTCATAGTAATTACTGAGTAATTCAAACTAGTTACTAAATAAGTCTTAGGATAAGTACTTGTGTAATAATCAGCATTGAATCAAGAGTTGCCTAATGTGTTTTAAGAATGCAAAATTCAAGATTAGTGTTTCCTAGCTCCAGTCTTGTACACTGGACAAAGTAATGCATTGATTTTACTTGATTCAAATGTGTAAATTAATAAAATATGAATGCACCAATAAGAGAAATGTGAGCCAATAACAATATCCAATATTCTTCACATATTTCCTGATGCTGATTCCAATGTTGATAGCAGTATAATTAACAGAATGCTCACAGTTTAATAATGTAGTCCAGTATTGCCAAAATATTCTGCTCCTCCAAAGTACAATAAATATATCATCAAATATCAGTTTGAAATATTGGTCAAATCTAAACATCTGTCCATTTTTTAATATCTGCAAATATCAATATCATTCCGATATCATTGTACATCCCTATAAAATATATCATATCAGCACAGTTTTTGCCAAGGGTAAGTGCACCAAAAGACAAACCTGTGTTGGTGAAATATTATTTTATTAATGAGGAATCAAATGGAGTGAAATCAATGCATACAATTTTCAGCGTAGTTTCAGCTTTGTTTTCCCACTTTTATTTCTTAGTCTTTACTACATCTAAATATAATACATATTAATGATGTGTAATACTCCTACTAATAATAAATATTCATATTATATAATATCTATTCATAATTACTTCATATTGTAAGGCCTTCTTGGGATGAATTGGTGTGTTAGAGCAGGAAAACACAAATGTGTGCAGTGTAAGTGGTCTACAGCTGGCCTGTCCTGGTGACCCAACACTATGCACTTTTTTGTGCTTTGTCTCATTGAGCTCATCTGATTCAACTCATTAACTAATTAACAAGTGCCTTGTTTGCTGGGTCTGGTAGGCAAAAATGTGCAGAGCGCAGGGTCACCAGGACTGGGATTTGGGAACCCTGGTCTACAGAACTGTTGCTGGGACATTGCTGTAGGTTTCCTGGTTTGTCCAGCAGGTGTCACATTTGCATGGCCAGTGAAACCATTTCCACTTGTGCACTGGTATTAGATATTACCTGCTGCAGGTAATCATGATTTCACTCACCGCGCATGTGAATAAGTTTACCTGTCTGTTGGTTCCCAGTGTCTCAGATCAAGAGACAGTCTTCTTTCTGGAATAACATCCTCCACGTCCCCGTCCTCGCTGCCGAAAGCGGAAGCACCCTGTCCAAACGGCAGGCTGTTGTCGGATCCAGTCTCCATCTCCGATTATTAGCCTTCCTTCGGCTGCTGTCGTGTGTTGGTGCCTTTGTGAATAAGAAATGCGACAAACCCAAACAGTGTCAGAATCGTCGGTTTTCTGCAGAAACCAGCTGCAACTTGCCACCACCAGAGCGACCAGATTCCTTGTCGTTTTCACTTCCGCATGAAAGAATTAGGCTGAAGCTAGCTTCTTTTTCTTTTTCGAATTTTCAGTTCCACCTTAAATGGCACAGCAGCTACACTCTGGTGCTGCACCGCTTAAGGTGGAACGGGCAAATCGAACCAGAAGCTGGCGAACAGGAAGCTAACTTGAGTTTCTTCTTGAGCGAACGCCATGGTACGAATAAACAGCACACAGATACACATTCATACACGTTATAGAGTAAATTATCGCACACAAACGTGTTTAAAGCACGCCTTTGTTATGTTATGTAGGTTTTAGAAGTATGAATTTACTTACTTTTTCAGAAATGTTTAGTCCTCCATGAGGCGCACGGTAGCTAAAGAGCTCGTTGTCAGAACTCCGAGCTACTGAAGTCCAATAACTTCACTTTGTTTTGAGATTTCCTACAAAGACGTTGTTAATCCTGCTGCTCCAGAAGCGCTCAGTCAGTCTTCATCTTAGCCAGACATGGCCATTAGGTCTAAGACTATATGAGCAAGACAGAGTTAATAAAACTCTGGTAAAACGTTTCAAAATACAAACATCGATTGGACCTAACTGATCCGCAGTCTAGGCCGCAAACTTTACTTTCGTTTCTGTGCGTGTTTCCTGTTTCTCTTAAAGAGACCCCGGTGAAATAACACGCCAGCACAGTATAGTGTTTACCGACTACATCTAGCTTAAACAGTTTCTCAGTCGCGTAAAGCAGCGACCCGACCTAAGCTCAGTCTAGTGCTGCTCTTCTTTAACACTGACTTTCTGTTTACATTGTACTGAACGAGAGGAAGTTGGCACTAGATCAAGGCAAACGTTTTGTAAAACAGTATAGAAATACAGAAGTTAGATTTCAAATCCAGTCTTTAAAAATGTGTTTTGTAACATCATATATTTGTAACTAAAATACTTCAAAATTTAAAACATGAATAAATAAATAAGAATTTTATTTAAAGCATTTAATCATTTATTTTATAATGAATTCATAACCATTTAATTTAAAGTGTGACGTTATGATGAATTGCATTATTTTAAGGTATGATGTGTAGGTGAGAGAGGGTCACTAATGTGCATTTAGTGATTGCTTGTGATTGCTTACTTGGTCATGCATTGTAAGCTAAATTTCTCAGCATGTGCTCCTCTGATGTTCACTTCACTTTATACGTATACAAAAGTTTGTAGACACCAACATATTCAACATTTCTTCCAAATTTATAGTATTAATAGGGAGTTTGTCCCACTTTTCTGCAGTCTCTACAGCCTCTATACTCTTTTAGAAAGGCATTACACTAGATGCTGGAACTTTGCTGGGAGGATTTGATTGAATTCAATCACAACAGCACTAGTGAGGCCAAGTATCTGATCATATCTGTAGACGAACCTAAAGCTGTTGAGGCAGGACTAAAAGCTATACTGTAATTGTTTTAAAGGGCCATATCTTACATTTTCTTGTATTTAATTTTTCTCCCTGAAGTCCACTTGAAATGTCTGGGTTCTATATACCAAACCCACTCATAATTAGTTTTACATTTACATCGTTTTTCAACCTATATATATATATATATATATATATATATATATATATATATATATATATATATGTGTGTGTGTGTGTATGTGTGTGTGGAATTGTGTAAATTGTGTAAATGAGCTCTGTTCCGATTGGTTGCCTTATGTTGTGCCTCAATGGACGTTACTTATAATACTTCAGTGTGAATGGGTGGGGCTTAACTGCTGTGGGCTTTTGTGAGGTCACAAAAGCAATACATGTAAAAAGAGCAGCTTAGTTTTATATATATACTCTTTTTTAAATAAAAAAAATGAGGAAAATGTAATTTTTCATTGGCCCTTTAAAGACATGATGGGTTGAGAGTGGAGAATTTAGTGAATGTGGACATTGTGAGTCTGAATCACTTTCAGCTCTGCCTTTACACACACACACACAGATGCCGAGAGAGCCAAGGGTGAATGGTCAAAGACTGATTAGGGCCACAGATCTTGAACCTGTTCTCCCCCCTCCTCCTCAAGAGCCTCTCTTCAGTGTTCCCAGGCCAGTAAGAATAAAAACATCTGTTGGCAAAACAGACCTTTCTTAACCTCTCACAACAGTGAATATCCCGCATATGTGATTCTGGTGCAAAGCCCAGCACCCCCTGTTTGTTTCCTTTGAGAGCTGAAGTGGATAACTGAATGTGAATAAGGGTTTCTTTCAGGAGCGACATTTAATATTAAACAAGTAGACTTACTGGGCCTTTTGATTCTTTGTTAATGGCAATATGTAAATACAAATTCATCACAGCATTTGTTTTCTGTGCCAATAAATAAAAACAAACAAACAAACTGACCCAATGAAAATGACCCAGATCTAGACTATCCAGGACAAAGGTGCAAAATACAGGGGTTCTCAGGGGGTCCAGGACTTCCGAATTAACCCATTGGACCCCCTGAATGTCTCAAAATCAAAATTCTGAGAGTCCCTGAAAATAAACATGTTGTGACATTTGGGAAAATTAGATGCTCAAATACAGATTCAGGCAAAGGCCATTGTTTAGCTGCTTCTCCCACAATCAGCGAGCTGTATTTGGTATTCTTAACAAACTAGATATGCAGCACTGGTCTGCCTCAGGGTGATGCTGTAGCAAACTGGTTCACCCAGTTAGGTCTTCATAGCCTAGCAACTGTGACTATGCCCAGGATACCTCTGAAAACTTTACAATATGCCATAGCATGTGTAAATCTGAAAACTTATTTCCCCAAGAGACTGATGGAAAGAGTGAATTGTTACTCATTTCACAAACTGAGAACAAAAGAGATGTGTAGGATCTTAATTGATGTGTGCAAGAGCACATTAACAACCTAAAAAAAGAGCATTTCCAAAAGGAGAATTGTTAAACCAAACATTTTGTTGCCATTGAAGCTAGCATCAGCTATGGTGAGTGAGTCAGCAGCCAGCCAACGCTGGAGCAGCAAGCCGACATGGGACCCCTGAATACCAGGGGGCTTTTTGCATACTGTCCAGAACTATCCTAAAACATCCATATAAACTGTAGACATATATTTTCTAATAAGGCTTATTTTATGTTTAAAACTGATCAATGATGATATGATTGTTATTAAATGATGTTTAAGGGTACCTTTGTAATAGCCTCCACCACACTCCTTTTGACCTGTTTGGAAGTGTAGCACACATACTTGTAGGTAAGTTGATCGACTGTAGCATGTATTATATTCTTTATTTTCTATCACCTTCCATTAGTCTATATATACAAATTATATATATATATATATATATATATAAATGGAGACCTGATAAGCCACCAAAACTGTCATCATCAGTTAAGCAGTACTTAACACTTTCATGTTTGAGGGTTCATCAATCTCCACTCTAAAAAAACAATATGGGTGCTAAGGGTCTGAAAGGATGTGTAGCTGTAAAGATGCTATCACTGAGAAAAGGAAATAAACAGAGATAAAAATTTGCTAAGAGGCTGCTGGTGTTCTCAGAACAATGTACTGACCACCACAGAGTCCAGACCTCAGCACCACTGAATGTGTTTGGGATTACTGGGATTTTGCAAAGCAGAAAATGCAACTTCTAGGCCTGAACTTTGGAGGTGTGGAAAAATATCCCTGCAGATTTCTTTGAAAATATGAAAGTAAGTTTCCTGAGAAGAACAGAAGCTGTACAGAAGAACAGAAGTGTGGACACACTAAAAACTAAAATATTTGTTAGAGTTTTTTTTTTTTTTTTCATTAAACATGTGTTTTCTGATTTTCACAAAAACATGAAAAAGTTGTAATTAATTGTACTTAATTAAATGAAAGTGAATTAAATGATCTCTGACTTAACCATATAAAAACAATGAAATGCTTTTCCAATGATAGGTCTTGGTCAAGAACAATTTAAAAGAACCATCTTTATTTTTTCCATTAATACGTAAAGAATGAATTATTTCATGCAGAAATAACTTCAAAAAACCTTCTTTCCAAATAAAGTTCAGTAAAACAGCACATTTTGGTCCTGAAGCCTCCATTACCCGAGGCTGTTTGAATGGTTAAATGGGACTGCATGGCTCAGTGGGCTGCAGTGATTGGACTGCTCAGAATTCGCTCAGAGGTCTCCAATGATGAGAAGAGGGGAGTGTCTCCTTTATCCTGAGCTGCATCGTTCAGATCCAGCCTCGCGGTTCTCCAGCACGGAGCTGTCCATTGAGAGTCTGTCTGAGCGGAGAGAGACAGAGCAGAGCTGCTGTTTACTCCTGACGTAGCGGCTCGCCTCGGACACCACCGTGGAGGGGATCGCGATGTGAATGAAGCCTAGAAAGAGAGAGGAGGAGAAGGAGGAGGAGAGAATGCGGAGAGCTCGCGAGGAACCTAGCGGTGATCATGTGGGCGCCCTCAGCACGAGCAGCCAGGTGAACGTGGGCGCTTTCAGCCAGACACAGGCTGCTCACGCGCCTTCCCCAGGAACCACGCGATGGATGTGGAAGAAGCTCGTTTAAGTCGCGCGCTGTTTTGCAGCTGAGTGTTTGCAGCGAATCTTTTTCTCGCGCACCTTTGTTGTTGGGCACTGACCATAAACAGAATAAGAAGGAGGAAAAAAAAACTTCCACGATGGCTTTGGTCATGGAACCTGTAAGCAAGTGGACAACGAGCCAGGTGGTGGACTGGATGAAAGGTAAGGGGAGTGGGAGATGCCTCAAAATCGAATAAGACCACTGGAGGAATTCGTTTCGTGCTTGTGTGTTTTTCTGTAGTATAGTGGGCCACATATATGTATTTTTCACGCATGATCGCGTGCGTTGGCAATGTTGCTGAGAAACAACAGTTTTCGTGCAGTGACTGTGGTGGGGGGGTGGGGGGGCGGGGGGCACCTAGGCTATCACCTGAGCAGTTATTGCAATGAACGTGTTTTCTGCTGTTGGTATTATAGAGTCTACCCTAGCTGTCAAAACAATGCCGAGACAGCGTCATAAGGCAGCATCGCCCTAAAAGAGCCTTTACTGTTATTGTATTAATGAACAGGGGTGGGCGAGTGGTCACGTGCTCCCATCAACCACAATGAGTTGTGACGGGTCACGTGTAGAGTGAGTAATCAGCTGGGCCTCCCTCACAGGCAGGGGCTCTCCTACCCCCCTATAGAAGGGTTTCCCAGGCCTGGTCCGTTTTAGTGCTTTTCCCTGTTTAAACAATCTTGACTGAACTCTGCTCATTAACAAACATTTGATAAGCTTCACCCCTCGAACCCTAGCCCTGTGTTTCAGTAACGTTTTCTTAAAAAGAAGGTTCTTGGTTGTAGGAAAACCTTTAAACTTATGTAGAACTTTTATATTGTGTTCTTTAAACTTAAAAACTGATCTAATTTACAAAGATGGTTCTTTAAAGAATCATCCATTGAAAGGTCCTTTAACAGTGTAAAATCCCAGGCTTATTATATACTAAAGCTTATTATTTAGTAACTACAGGGACTTCAGTGCAAACTGGCTGAGCTATTCTTAGGTTATAGAAGTGTGTAATAAAACCTTGGCCATTTAAAGCGTTAAGGAACCTAAAGTGATGCTCCAACTCATTTTGAAACCTTTATTTTTAAGAGTAGACGATACATTATTCAGTAACTATGAGAAGGAAGTGTAAGTTATGTGGTTATGAGAGTGAGGAGCTGAAGTGTGGGCTGTACAGGCCTTTGAGGTTTAAAGGGTTAAACTGAGCATGGTAGTCCATGAAAACACTGAAGGGCCAGTGCCAGGATTGAGAAGCCCTGCCTCATAGTCAAAGAGCTGTCCTAACCCATCAATAGCATTATGTCTGTGAAGATTTTCAGTCATCTATGCCATTAATTGTTTGGTAGCAGTAAATCAGTGTTTCTAGGCGTGTGATATTGAGATTATAAGACTCATATAAAAAGTCAGGAGTACAAGGTTCGCTTACTCACTGCTACTAGAGATCCTCTTGACTGTTGGAAGAAGGTTACTGTCCAGGTTTTGGTCTTCCAAGTACCATTCAAAGAAGTACAAAAATAGAGAGTGCTACTGGTAGAGAAATTCTGTTGAATTACAGTAAAAGGCAGTATTTCTAAAATATTAAATAACTTTAATTTTACCATCATTGAGAAAGCACACTTTTACTGTTAATTAATGAGTGTTTTTGGCACCCTTGCTGCTGGACATACTGTTTTTTTGCAGTGTACATTTGCTTTTCCATGGGAAAGGTACATATTTGTAGGAAATAGTTGTAAGTACGAAATTCAAACAAAATGCTTTAACAGGGTGTCAAGATGGCTTAAATGAAGTGAAATACAACTGCAAGTGAATCTAGTACAATCATGTTCCCTAACTAAAGGTACCGAAGACCTATCCTTAAACATTCTAATCCCAGTGACAGTATTTGTACCCTGAAAGGTAGTTTTAGTGATAGTGTATAGTGGTGGAGTCCCTCTGTTCCCTGTCCTTACATCCATTTTAACTGCTCATTAATGAGCTCTTGAGTCTCTCTCTTCACTCTTTACTGCTACTGCTGGCAGAATGGAGATATAAACTGTAGATATAAACTGGACAATAAGAGATATAAACTGGACAGTAGTCATTTTATAGCAGAGATTCTCACAATTGGAGTCCTAAAGCTGGACAGCTGTTGCAGCATGATGGTCGTCTTTCTATTCTTTTCCTCTGAGTCATAATTACAACAGTAACAGTGCCTGTTGCTTTCAAGTAATTTACTCCCTTGTGTGAATGAAGTGGATCGATACCTCATTCCTCTCAGAGACAGTTCAGGCATTAAGCTCCTCCTGCCACAGCCTGCCTGTGCTCTGTGTGTGTGTGTGTGTGTGTGTGTGTACGTGCATACAAATATACAATACTGTGAAAAAGTCAGAGACCACCCTTTTTTTTATTTAATTTCCAGTCAAAATGTCCATTAAGTACAAGTTATTCATTTTTTCTAAAGATATTTCTAAGTAGATTTGATATAAGATAATCCACTTGCATAAACAAAGGGAAAGTCAAAGAAAGATAAGTGAAAAAAGTTCAAAATCATAAAAAATTGCAATAAAAGATAAACCATAAGATAAACAGAGCATAAAGCTTTCTTCTTTGAGAGAAAGGAAAATATCAAGCTCCACTCTTGCTTCAGATCTGTAAAAAATCCACAGGTGTTTCTGTACATCCTTCCATTGTGAGACGACAACTCAACACTATGGATCTGAAAGGATGTGTAGCTGTCAAGAAGCTGTTACTGAAAAAAGAAAACAGACAGAAAAAAGAAGCAAAAGACAATGAAGTGGCTTGTTTTCCCAGAACTGGAGAGTATTTCGTGTGCCAAGCAGAATCCAGACCTCAACGTCATTGAATGTGTTTGGAATTATTTGGATTGTGAGAAGCAGAAAATGCAACCAACTTCTGAGACTGAACTTTGGAGATGCGGGAAATTATCCCTGCAGATTTCTATGTTAAACTGAAAGCAGGTCTCCTCAAAAGAATGAAAGCTGTAATAAAGGTGAAGCGTGGACACACTTAATATTGAAATAAGTTATATTCAGTTTTTGAAGCTTCTGTGTAATTTTCTGTTAAAATATATGTTTTCTGCTATTTTTATTAATAGCTTATTGACTGTTTTGACTGGAAATTAAATCTGTATGGGTGTGTATGTGGTGTGTGCAGTCATATCTTAATACAATCACTCAGCTATGAGAGAGAGAGAGAGAGAGAGACAACGAAGGTCTATTTGCTTCTTTCCGTGTTGTTGTATCCGAAGCTATGCTTGTGTCACATTCAGCATGCAGTGTTTGAGTGGATAAACAGTGTGCCGGGTCTTGATTACAGCTTTACTCCATGCCTTAATGTGTTTATTCACTTACTCATGCCTGTGCTGCTCACACACACACATGTACAGAGCTGATGTGATGGCCGCCTTCGGATTTCAAGTCATGCTTCTCCTATAGAGGACACCCATATGCAGTGACTCATTAGGCGTGAAGAATCTGCACGCCAGCCTGTTTGCTGCTTCAAATCTTTTTCTTTGCTTTAGTTTGTGCTTCTGTTGCTTAAACACATAAAACAGAGGCTGAACATGGTAAACAGTAAAAAAGAAATGGAGGGAAGGTAGAGAGGTATATGTGGAGCTGAACTCTGTCTGTTGCGGAGCAGATGTATGTGTTCCCATGTTCCCATGCATCCTTATTGACAGCTAAGAGAGAGAGATTTAAGAAGGTCCCTGACTCTTGCACACTTTGCCTCTGTCCCAGGCTGATTCTTGGAGTCTGTTGTGCGTTCACAGAAGCTGGCTCAAAGTTTATGCGTTGCTCTACATTATACATCATGCAACCATGCAGTGTGCTGTGGCCTGACCTTTTTTTATGTGGTCTAATTAAATACATATATGTGGTATCTGACAATTACTATATCATCAAGCGATAACTAGGGTGAGTTACGCATTTTGTAGAGCACTTATTCATCATAACCCTCTGCACAACCCTTACCTGATTGTTGGCCTGCATGTATCATCTCAGAGTAAGAGCGCTGATCTAAGATCAAGTCTGATCGTTTCATGGAATTTTATTCAGTGTTAGATAAAAAGCATAAGCTGATCCTAGATCAGTTTGATTACTCCAAGAAGTCTGATAAATGTGAGCCATTGGCTCTTTAATGTGGTTATTTTGTTTTGATTTCTGTCAATAACTCAGTAAACCACTTTAAACAATTTTATTTACAAGAATTGAATTTTTCAGAATTCCCCTTTACTTTACTATTTGCTATAGAACTTTACTATTGGATGTCTGGTGTTTGACATTACTCTCAGGGCCCTGTGTTGAGGCAGGCTACTGGTAGGTGCTTGGTGCTTGTGGCTGTGTGCTTCTCAGAGCCTTATAGTCAGTGGTGTGTATAAGAACTCACAGATACACAGTCCACATGCATGCTTGGTCACGTTGCCGTACATTCTTACACATGTCCTCAAATGTATGAACGTAGCCTACTATCGCTGACATTTCTGCTTGTTTCAGCCTCAGGCTCGCGCATAGTGGTATATATGAAAAGCTCCCATACAGCATGCCCCTGCATACAGTAATCCTAATCCATACTGCATGTGGAGTATGACTTCTGACAGCTGTCTAGGTTTTGCCGCCATGCTCGTTGAGCGCAGCATCTGTTCTTGCATTTTTTACATCTATTTCTTCAGCCATGCCCAGAGGGTGTGTTTTAAGGCTGCTGTCATGCCTTTAATATCTGAAATATTTTGTGTCGCAGAGGCAAATAGATGCTTGACATCTTTGGGTATTTTGCACGGTGCTGTTAGGGTTCATGGTCCATTGCAGCAGTTATTCAGATGTTTTTAGCCTGAATGTGAATGGCTTGGAAGGCGTGGGAGAGGTTTGACCAGCAACTGCCAATGTGCCACCCTGCTCAGCACTTTCTGTGCCTGGCTTCATGGACTACAGAACTGGGAGGAGACCACTTAGGCTGTGGCCTATTTTTTGAACGTGGATCAAAGTGGTCACTAGCCTGTCGTTGATTAAAATCCTGATCTGCGTATTTTTGTTATAAATTTATTATCAGATCATTTCTGTTGCATGGATGCTTAATGTAACTTATCAACTTACTGGGTCTACCTGTATCACAGTATGATAAATATCAATACAATAAACACAAACTTACCTTCAGCTCTTCCTCTTAATGATTTGTGGGT